AGTTTTTACTTCATTAAACAGTAAAAACTAATACTAAAATAGTAATCTTTTAAAAAATATTACTGTTTTCAAAACACAGTTCCCTTTCAGTCGGTCACTCTCGACGTCACGTCGGATGACCGACGAACTTGGGATCTCGCTTAGAGAGACCAATCCACTTCGAGTGTAAACTAAACGAGCCAATGCACATTGGCATGCGATTATTGCATCCAGCTGCTGCTGATCACAGCGTGAGTATAAGTAGGCAGCAGATGCACCGCATATTCAGCTTTTCGCTTCGGAGCCGAGCGGTTCTATCGTTCTGCTCCTGACCTTCTGCTAAGAGTAAAGCTACAGTCAAGCACGCTCTTCGTGGGCTCTCGTGCTGGTGGATGGCGCTTCAGCGGCGGTGGCTTCCCGTGTCGAGTGGGTTGCACACAACAGGCTGCACTACCCCTGTGTGTGTTGCAGACGGCCATCTCCCCTGTGCGCTCCAGCACACTAAAAGAGCAATTTCCATTTAAAAGAGCTTCACGGGTGGAATGTCTTTTTAAAGATGCGTATTTTTAAAGATGTCATACCATCTGTGTGTTTCTGGGTGCGGTCTTTACCTGGCGCCGGGTGATGGTCACGACCGCTGCCTCTCGTGTCTGGGCATGAAGCACGCTGAGGTGGCTTTCGTGGATGACTCATGCTCCCATTGCGGGGGTATGACCATTTCGGAGTTGCGGCCCAAACTCCGTTACCTGCAAGGGGGCGGAGTGCCCGTGCCACTGCCTAGATCTGGGGTTCCCTCTGGTGGCAGCCGGGGGCGTCCTTCTTCTAGCGGTGGGCGGACTGGTCTTACGGTCACGGTGAGGAATTCACCTCCGGGGATGCCCAAACCCGCCGGCATTGCGAAACCAGCGGCGCTCTCAAAAGAGCAGGCTGGACCCTCCCGGGGGGTACCACTTGTTTCTTCGCTATGCTTTCCCGGGCCGCCGAGAGTGTCGGGCTCGAGTGGAATCTTCCACCGTGTCCCGAACCCTCAACGTTGGATGATTGGTTTCTCGGGGTGGCGCGCGCTGGTTCTCGGGGCCCCACCCCAGTGCCTTTCTTCCCGGAGGTGCATGATGAGATCGCTGGGTCGTGGACGGCACCTTTCACTGTCAGAAACCGGCCCGGTGGCTCATCCTCCCTGACCACCGTTGATGGGGGTCCAGCGCGGGGGTACGCGGGAGTTCCCCAGGTGGAGCGGTCGGTTGTGATGCAATTGTGTCCAAATCCCGCTACCACTTCGCGGGGCAAACCGCTGTTCACCACCCGGGCCTGTAGGCACTCGTCGGCCTTGATCGGCAGTGCTTAAATGGCCTGTGGAGAAGCTGCGTCCGCCTTACATGCTTCGGCGTTACTGCAAGTGCACCAGGCTAAGGCACTGAGGGACTTGCACGAGGGTGGTCACAACCCGGAAGTTCTCAAAGAACTCTGCACCGCGACGAACCTCGTGCTACGAGCGAGGAAGGTCTCTGGGTCGTGCGATGTCCACTATGGTGGTCCAGGAGCACCATCTCTGGCTGTGTCTGGCCGACATGCGCGAGACGGACAAGACAAGATTCTTGAACGCCCCCGTGTCCCAGACCGGCCTTTTCGGCGCGACAGTGGAGAACTTCGCCCAGCAGTTCTCCGCTGCCCAAAAGCAGACTGAGGCCATCAGGTACATCCTGCCCCGGCGTGCAGCTGCTGCCTCCACCCGGCTCGTCACTGAGGGCGGCCCCCGGCCGCCGCCCCCGCTCCCGCGCAGTCTCCGCAGCAGCCTCCAGCAAAACTGCGCCGAGGAGCCGGCCGCAGGGCAGCCGCCCCGCCCGTCCAGGCCCCCACCAGACCTGGTGGTAAGCGAATTTACGCCTGTAGTTCCATTGATGCCACTTACGCGGTGTCTGGGAGCCTGGCTAGAGCTACCCAGCCCGTCTCGATGGCTCCTTCGAACCGTCAGGCTCGGCTATGCGATTCAGTTTGCCCGGCGCCCTCCCAAGTTCAGGGGCGTCCACTTTATGTCAGTGAAAGCAGCAGATGCCCCTGTCTTGCGTGCAGAG